TAGTACAAAAATTTCTAATTTAAGAAATTTTTGTACAAAAAAGCCGTTTTAGAAAACAGTAAGAAAGCTGTCCCAAACAAAACCTAAATCTATATTTGAAGCATTTCCATTTGAATTTTGAACCAAATTTCTTCTAAATTAAAACATCAAATTCTTTTCATAATTCATAAAAAACTTTCTACCTCAGCAATGGTTCCAATTTTAACCAACAAACTTACATTTACAGTAACCTCTTACTTTTAGGCAATTTCTTCACCCACTGAAGACAGCAAACAATTAGGATGGACATTTCCAGACAATTATAATTTGAAATTAAATTAAATTTTACTGATCATTGAACAGAAATTTTGAGATCAAATCGATAATAGATGAAAAAGATAAATATTAAATATGTTTAATTATGATTTTTTTTTTTTAAAAAAGGAGATAATTGTGCTCAGTTTAGTGATATTTAGGCTTGATTTGGGTGGGATTAGTTTGTTTTAAATAAATACTAAGAATTTAAAATTTATAAATTTTACATTGAAATATAAAATTTTATTAGATGATTCATAATATTTCATTGAAATTATAGTTTGGTTTGGCTTAACTGATTAAAAGGAAGAAAATGATGAAGTTTTCTTATAATTCTATGTCGCATCATATTCTATAACTTTTAAAGGCTCATAACTGTGACTGAAAAGTGAGCTTTAAAAATCAAAATTTTGCAGTTAGGCCTTACAAATTTAGGCTTCGTTTGGGACGGCCATTTGATTGAGTATTTTAAATTTTGACTATATTTACTAGACATGTCACTTCAAAAATATATAAATAGGTGCCCGCTCTTAACATGAATCAAGCTTGGACCTTGAGAGTCAAGAAAGCTTAAAGGCTTGAAAAATCTCAGAGCTCCATTGAACCACTATAGTCTGACTACCATCATCAAATCACTGTCGACACACCACCTCATATTGACCAATGACATCAAACCACCATCGTCCAATCATCCCCATTGAACGACCGTTGTCAGACCACACCCAATCATTATCTTAGAACTACCACCCAACCACAGCCATCAAAACCCCACACGTCTACCATTGTTCGACTATAGTTCTCCAACTACCATCACCAAATTATGACCATCCAACCACCATCGTTTGACTACTGTCCTTCAACCACTATCGTCCAACTATAATGTCCAACTATCTTTGCCCAATTATTGTCACTCCATGTGATTAAAGTGGAAATTTTAATCTCTTTTCCTTTTATTCATTTATCGTTCTTCTTACAATTCAATTAACTATCACTATTCATTTACAATCAAATCTGACTAATTGCATTAGTAAAAAATAATTATAAACAAAAAATATAATTATATTACTATAATCGATATTCATATTTTGTTTCAAAGTCCAAAATCCACAATAATATATATAAAATTAAAGTGCATAAAATAGAACTAAACTAGCATCACTCTTTAGCATCATGATGCATGCTCCTTACATTTACCTAAAATTATATAAAATAACATAACGAGAGCATAACCCAGCAAATAACCAAAACTTATCGATGGATGCAATGCTAGGCAAAAGAATCAATATGCATACTCCAATTTCAGTCCATATCAATTAAAAATAAATAGTATATACATATAAGCAATAATCAATCTATAAAATCTGTATCAATCAATAGTAAAACCAATATGATCAGCAAAACTAAAAGAGATCTATCAAATCATATGAAATCAGTAAAAAGGATGATCAATTAATGGACATGCTATTTTATATTGTATAAATATCAATGTTAGTTTTGTTAGTACGACTTCAGTTATATCTATCAATCAGTCCAATAGTTATATCTATCAATTAATTCAATGTATTATCATATTAATGCAATCATGAATACAATTGTGAAGAGCAATGTAGGACATTCACTTAATTTAATGTGATGTTTTCATCCTTATATTACAACCATCATCCAATTAGTCATCTGTCTTTAATTTAACCTCAAATGTAAACTAGTTGATCATCAACCATTATCTTACCATCATTATTCATTATCTTAAGTCAATTCACATGTGACTTTCAATAGTTAGTTAAGAGTTGTCACTCTCTACTCGTCGACGTAACTCGGTCAATCAATTATAGGCTACAACTAGAATCACACCACAAATATTTTATTTTAAATAAAGCACATTAGCCTATCCTCTTATGTAGGATAATAAATTTTAAGAGTCAACCCACATTAATTATAGTGTTAACAATCAATCTTCCTTGCTTACATGCAAATGTCACATTCATCTTATATCAATTGTATCAGTCTCCCTTTAATATATGAAATGCAATATGTATACACTAGACAATAATTTAAAAAAATCATAACTTGCATTTTATCCGATGAAATTGAATAATGTAATAGTCAAAATGCTCACACAATCCATATCTATCATATATAAAATGTTACATGGTAGAAGTTCAATAACCCAGAAGAAAATACATTTTTTGTTGATTTGAGAGAGATAAAACTTGTATAAACTAAAACCATTGAAAATATGAGTAGAATATATTCACTTATTTCAAATATAACAAAATTTGTAATAGGGGTTTTGGATGAAAAAAATCCGTAGCGATTCATCTCTCTTCTCTCGCTCCTCTCATCTCTCCCTTCTCTTCCCCTCCTCTTTCCTTTCCTTCCTGGTCAAGCAAACAAGAATAAGGGAGGGAGTGAGGTGGTGGCAGGGATTTAGATCAAATATATATTAAATTCATTTTAGTGTCTGGCGTTGCCGCGCTCCTATCACCCTGCATTGCTCTCATGATCTAACGTTGTAGCCATGCATGTTGAATCTATAATTCATGTAGAATAGATCCTTTAAAATCGCAGTGGCAGCTTTTGACATCATAGTATCTTTAGTATAGCTGAACTCTAAAGCACATTGTCACAATGCTCCACTTTAGAATTTTTATGTTTTTCAAATAAGTTCATTTTAAACTTTGGGTTATTATAATTATGGTTCTCCAACCATAGTTACCCAACTACATCCCTCTGACTATCATTGCTAGATGATGATCATCTAATCACTATCACCCGGCTATAGCCCTTTGACTATTACTTTCTAATTAGGATCATCTAACCACTATTTCCCAACAATGACCCTCAAACGACCATCATCCAATTATGATCACTCAATCACAATCACTTGACTATGATCCTCCGACCACCGTCTCCCAATTATGATCACCTCACCACCATTGTCAAACTACAATATTCCAACCAATGTCACTTAACTATGGTTCTCTGATCACCTATACTACGATATTCGCACCATCATCTCCTAACTATGATCCTCTATCCACTTTACCCGACTTCTAATCATCTAGCCCAACTAAAATTTTCCAACCACCATCGTGTAAATATGGTCCTCCAAGCTCCAACGCTCGATTATTACTCTATCAACATCGTTATTCGACTATATTATCCAACCAACATAGCCTTACTAGTTGATCCTCTTATTACACCAACATAAGCTAATTATCACCAACAATGTTGATGCACGCCATTTCCTATAAGGAGGAAGTCGACACCAATTTTGACTTTCAACATCAACACTAAGATTTATACTAGACTTCATGTTGTCTAATTTTTTCTCTTCAAAGGAAATGAAATAATGAAAAACAAATTATCTCTTGATTACAACTCTCCAGCCATAAATCTCTTCCAACTTCCAACATAGAATCCAATCCATAGAGGTTATATCTAGTATATTATATTAACTTATTCCCTAATTACGTGAAAGATATCATTTATGATGGATAACATATACTAGTTGAATCATTTTCACTAGGTTAGAAAACTTGATTTTTTCTTTTTATCGAGTTTTTCACAAAATAACTCCAATGACACTTACAAATCCTCTTTTATCTGTGTGCTAAAAATTCAAATAAATGTTAAGACTTAAACTCTCTCTCTCATTTTCTCTTTATTATCGTGAATACTCTAGCATGCAACTATTATATATTTTCTTATGATTCGATCATAGAGAATTACAATCATAATTCTTTTATCCCACTAAAAAAAAATGTCACCCTCTTTTGCCAAGAATTCAAGACATTTGATAATAAAATAAAATACTTAAAACCCCCTTAATGAAATAATCTTCATTGAAGATCTATAATTAAACCTATGAAGCGTGTCTTCTTATTAGGAAAAAAGTTAAGCTTCACAACTAAACAGGTATGAAAGCCTATTTGTAACAATTATAGTTGTGTTGTCCATACATCTGCAAAAGAAACTGTTATGTTATGATCAAATATCAAATGACCCACATGCTCATGTTGGAGCACATATATGAACCAACATTCATTTCTCTGTCCCAAACTAATTTCATTTGCCATATCATGACTTCGTTTGGGATAGATTTCTTACTGCTTTTTAAAATAATTTTTTAATACTAAAAAACTGCTTTAAGAAACAGTAAGAAAGCCGTCCCAAACGAAGCTTATGACAGTAGAATTAAAAAAAAAATAACAAAAATCATCACCATTCATTCTAAAATTCAAACAAATCAAATTACAAATAGTTTCACCTTTTCCCCATTTCTAGCTGTTACACACCAACACTCTCCTCATTGCTTCAGTCTTTTCAAGAACATAAATAAAGCAAAAATTTAAAACACTCCCATGCCTCTCTGAGCCCATCAGATTCCTTACATATCAGCAAAAGAACAAATCCACAATAGAAATTCAACAAAATAAATATGGAAATTTTATGAAGGAATTAACAACAGCTATATATGAACCAAAATGATCCAGTTTTCAATCTGAGAGACTACTAATATATACTCTTCAATGACTTCTTTACATCTCCATCCCTCGCAAGGACTGTCAGCTTTTGCAACTTTGTAAAAGAAAGATTTACTTTCTCTTCCATCTTTCCATTTTCTTCTTACAGCAAACAGTTAGAGAAAGATTTGTTTAAAACCTGCAATCTTAATCAACTAAAATCTGATAAGATTTACGTAATCAATTCATTTTTCTGCGCTTAGAACAATTTTCTGATACATGTACTGAAAATGAAGATTTTATGGGTCTAATTTTCTCCTTCTTGATGGACTCTTGAATCATTGCATTGTAGCAGGAGAAAACCTGCTCCTGTGACAAGAAATAACAGATAAAATAATGTCTTTGAATCGAGATTATATTTCTATCCCGTTCGGAAAACGAGAAGAGGGAGTATATGGACTATTTAGCTTACTACTTCGAAAGATTCTGACAGGGAGACTGAGCGCATCTTAGACTTCAATAGTTTCTCTGTTACCTCGTCACCTGATGCAGCCAAAATGGCCGCCGCAGCTATTGCTGAAGGGCGGTAATCCATCAAGTTCATAGCTGGATTGGGATTAAAATGCATAAAAATGACATTTTTATTTGAAAAAAATCAGATACTTGGGAGGCTAGAACAGCAAAAATTCAGCACCTTGAAGAATATCAAAAATGAATGAAATGGCCTTAGAGAATAGATCCTTGGAGCAATGATCAAAATTAAACTTTGATGCAAAATAGCAAAGGTAGGCAAATGGCGTCACTGAGTTTAGTTTCCATTCCAGCGTATCCAAAACGAGGAGCTCCATTCTCATAATCGATTCGCTAGTGAACCAGTAATCTTCTAAGCAATACTCAGACAACAATGGCGGCGAGCACTCCTCCAACTTTGCAGCCAAGGATAAACAAGCCACTGACAAAAGCTTCGTTGCCCAGTTCTTCCCTTCCTAATCAATGAAAGGTGGAGAACTATATATTTATAAAACTTGGAAGATAAATCAAATAACAAAAAGGTGACATTTTTACATCGATTGTCCGCCGGGCGAAGAACCGGTTCATATAAGTTACTGCGAGGTAAGCGGTCTGAGAACTGAATCGGAAGCAGGATTTCATCTGAATCAGAGCAGAAACACGCAAAAAATAAAAAAAAATGAATTTTTCAAAATTAGTCGCAATGGTTAACTCACTTTGAGGATCCAGCGGACGGATTCGGATCTGTCGCGGAGCAGAGAAGTTTCCGATGTACAGAGGTCATCGCAGAGAAAAGAGCTCTCTTTGGAGACGAGAGTGCCAATGTACTCGTCGTCTGCTTGGGAGAGGGAAGAATCGGTGAAGAAGATGTTGAGGTTGCTGAGTTCGTCATCTTCTTCGTCGTCGGCAGCAATGTGGGTGCCGTCTTCGGGGCAGAAGAGGCTAGAGAGAGAGAAGGGGCAATCGGAGAAGTTCATGGAGGGCATTTGGAAGGTTTGGGTACAGGAAGAAACGGGATTGAGCAGATGTGGAAGTTAAATAATAGAGGGCATTTTCGCGGGAATTGTTTCCACTGGCTGCAGCGCCGGATCGTGGGCAAGAGATTTAGCCTGACGAGATAGGCTCCTATAAATTTTCGGCATGTGTTAAAAATTGGAAATTTTACCGAATGCGCTGGACAACATAGTTCTTATTATTATTATTATTATTATGAGAGAAGTAGCGCTCTCAAAATTGGGTTATGAGTGAGATTCGGGTTCAATTCAAAATTGAACCGGTATTATTCGTCCCAATTCAAACTCAACTTGTTTTTGAAAACATGATCGTTTTTCAGATCCGAACTCGACCCGCTTCCGATTAGGGTCAACCTGACCCGTAAGTCAAATACTATAACTCCGCTTGTTCGACAACGGCAGAAATCGCGCGTTTATTCAACCAAATCCCGTAACTCCGGCGGCCCTCCGATATCGACTATGCGCGGCAGCAATGCGGGCAGACGCGACAGCGGCATCGACTCACGGGTAGCTGGATCGCAGGCAGCGACATCGCGGGCAGACCGCAGATGGCGACGCTAGGCGATCGATGCAACTAGACGCAAGCGATACGACGCGGACAGACGCCTTTTTCAAGGTCGTTTCCGAGTTTCTGGGTCAACCCTAATCCAACCAATTTTTGAAACGGCCCATTTGTTGAATCTGAACCCGACCCGTTTGGGATTCGGGTTGACCCAAATCCGAAATTTTCGATCGGATTCGAGTCGAATATTTATGTCGTGACAAATATTGACACCCCTAATCCTGTCCTCACAAAATTGTCTTTTAAATTCTTCGTAGAATTTATTGAAATTAGTAGCTCGGCATATTAAATGAGAAGAGGAAAGTCTTATAAAACTGCACATGCTTCATAAAAGAAAATACATTAATAAAGCAAAACTTAGTACAATAGTAAGAAAAATAAATCGGAGGAACCCACTAAAAGGTATATAAGTTTTTTGTTTTTAAATATTTAAAATACACGTGTACTTAAATATAGTATAAATCAAATAAAATATTTTTGAATTGATGACATCATTTTCTTGTGTTTGATTAAGATGGGCTAAACAAAATTGAGAGCTTTCTTCGTATGGAAACTTCCGAAATTAAAATTGGGACCACCTAAACTCCGATTTTAGCAAACTTATAGTCAAACAGAACGTCTTGGAAATACGAACCCAACGACCCCACATTCGACTTAATTCGAGCCTAAATGGGTCCAATTCAAGGGTCTGAAGCACTGTTTGAGGGTTCAAACCACAATTTGGATTACAAACGGTTTCCAAACACGACATGCTTATAGTCGAATCGAGCGGCTCGACGAGACAAATCCAACGAGCTCAAGATCATTGAATTCCGACATCACTAAGACATTCAAATGTCCATCAAACATCCCATGATCAAGGGATTCAATATCAACCGTCCATCCAAGCCACTCAACATATGCCCTTGATCGCTCGCCTATTTACGGGCCATACCACTCTATGAAATTTATAAATATACCCATCCTCCTTCTTGAAAGAGGGGCTTCAAGCAAGAGAGCAAGAGAGAGAGATCGAAGATCACTCTTGCCTCATCTCTCCTCCTCGACCACCGCCCCAGAGTTCTGTTAGACAACCACCTGAGGCCTGGACTTATGCCGAACCACCACCTCAAGCCCAGACTTCTGTCAGACTACCACCTGACGCCCGAAGTTGTTTTGGACCATCACCTAGTGCCCGAAGTTCTGCCAGACCACCACTTGAGGCTCGAGCTTTTACCGGACCACCACCTAAGGCTTAGACTTCTGTCGGACCACCACCTGAGGCCCAGACTTCTGCCGGACCACCAACTCAAGCTCAGACTTCTGTCAGACCACCACTTGACGTCCGGAGTTCTGTCGGACTACCACATGAGGCCCGAACTTCTACCGGACCACCACCTAAGGCTCATACTTTTGCTGGACCACCACCTGAGACGCGAACTTCTGTCGAACCAACACCTTAGGCCCCGACTTCTGCCGGACCACCACCTGATGCCCGGAGTTCTACCGGATCACCATATGAAGCCCGGAGTTCTGTTGGACCACCACTTAAGGCCCAAATTTCTACCGGAGCACCACCTAAGGCTCAGACTTCTGCCGAACCACCACCTGAGGCCCGAACTTCTGCCGGACCACCACCTGAGGCTCGGACTTTTGTCGGACCACCACCTCAGGCTTGGACTTCTGCCGGATCACCACCTGACGCCCAGAGTTCTGCCGAACCACCACTTGACGCCTGAACTTCTGTCAGACCACCATAAGGCTCAGTCTTCTATCGGACCACCACCTAAGGCTCAGACTTCTGTCGGACAACCACCTAAGGCTCGAACTTCTACCGGACCACCACCTCAGGCCTGAACTTCTACCGGACCACCACCTCAGGTCCGGACTTCTGCTGGACCACCAACTGAGGCACGGACTTCTGCCGGACCACCACTTGAGGCCCGAACTTCTCTGGACCACCACCTGATGCCCAGACTTCCACCGGACCACCACTTAAGACCCAGACTTTTGCCGGGCCACCACTTGATGGCTAAAATTCTACCGGAATACAACCATACTACTACGGTCTTTCAGACCCTTGTCGGACTACCGTCATACTACTACGGTCTTTCAGACCCCTGTCTCCTGCCGACTACAATCCTTCTGACCTCTATCGCCTACTATGATCCTTCTGACCTACATCACCTGACAACGGTCTTTCTGACCCCGATCTCCTATCAACTACGATCATTCTGACATCTGTCGCCTACTATGATCCTTCTGACCTACATCACCAGACAACGGTCTTTCTGACCCCAATCTCCTTCCAACTACGATCAATCTGACCTCCGACGCCTACTACGGTCCTTCCGACCTCCATCGCCAGACAATGATCTTTCTGACCTCAATCTCCTTCCTACTACGATCTTTCCGATATCTATCCTATCTACTATGGTCCTGCCGACCAAACAAACATGTTTATGTTGATTATTGTAACTCTCACAATGTAATGCGCTCTATATGATGTACATTTGTGACATCAAGCCAAGCCCTTCTCCTGAGGAAGGGCATCATTTGTAATCGACTACAAATACTAGTGAATTCATTCAAATTGGGTCAGGCCCCGTGTTTTTTTTTTTCTTTTTAGGGGTTTCCACGTAAAAACTCTGATGTCTCTTATGAATGCTACGTTATCTTTTTCATCAGCTTAAGTACTAGATCTTCGTACAATGTTGAGACATTAGACTATATATTTCTCTACCACCGTGAATACTCTAGAACACAACACTCTCTAATATTTTGTTGAAGCTTCATGCATCTAATAACCAATACAAACTAGTTGAGAGCGCACACAGATGGGAGAAAATTTTCAATCTTGGTTATTTGGTTTTTGTTTGGTTGCACAAAGAGTGCCTCCTTGCTGGCAACTATTCCAAACTTAGCAATTGGAAATGGGTTCCGTTTCCTATCAGTAAAAAGATTAACGACAATACTTATGTTCTCAATTTACCAGTTGAATTTAATACTTCATGCAAGTTCGATGTTGTCGATATCTATGCTTATGCACCACCAAGATGACAGTAAACTTCATCCTAAATCAGCTAGCACATATTCTCTTCATGACGGGGGCACATGATGCGGAGCATTCTTACTTAGAGAAGATTTGAGGAGCATCTTACCAACTACTAATTACTTATTTATATTAGATATAATGTGCTCCACTACCGAATTGCTATAGTTAGTTATTTAGTACTAATTTTTTACCTTTTATAGTTTAGTCCCTCTTAAAGTATAGATGATATGAGTATATACACCAAAACCTATAGCTAAGCGGGATATTGAATCATATTACAATACAAAACTCCAGTTATTGTTTTATTGTTTCTTGCTTCCTCTGTTTTTCCATCTTGCAGCATCATAACCTCCATCTTGCTTCATCTGTAAAAAAATTTTTGGCTGATAATTTTGTCGACTGTAGCCAAGCTCCTTAAGGACCTCCAAAAGGAAAGAACCCTTCGATAGGAGAAGTAATTAGGTGCAATTGGAGAAGAGCAATTGGATGAACTTCTTGCATAGGGTGTCGACATGTAAACCTCAGCTCTGAGTAGGGCTGCAAGCAAACTGAGTGTTCAACGAGCTGCTCGAGGGTTGGCTCGATAAGAGCTCGTTCGATATTGTTTAATTAGTTAGTCGAACAAGTTTGAACATTGCTAAGAATATGCTTTCTAAAACAACTTTCAAAAAAATTATTTTCTTTATATCAGCTTGACAATCACTTTATAAAGAATTGCAAAAGTCATGAATAGCTATCAGACTCGTTCAAATTAAAATACTCTGATGACCAACTGGCAAATAATTGTGTTGTCTTGCTAGTTGCTATAGCCTAGCCGCTGAGTTCACTTTAACTCATAATTTCACCAATAATTACCACACGAACACTCCCCATCCTTGAAATGATGAAACCTCTTAGCATCTCTTACAACAATGTCTCTTCCAGTTGCAAGTGATATGAACATGATTGCACTATGGCAATCCCCACAAATCCTCAAGTTCTTGAGAATTCTAATTTTAGCTCCAGCTTTCAGTTTTAGCAATCCAAAAGCCAAAGCCAACTTCTCGCTGTGAGTAGAAAGCACATATTCCTTCCTCTCAGATTCAACATCCTGCAATACATATCTAGTATCAGGAACATACCCCAATTTCCTCATCTTTGCTCCAAGTACCTCCAGGAATCTATATGCTTTGTGCACTTCAGGATGAGATAAGTCATTAACAAGGAAGACATGGACCTTATTTTCGACTTCGATCCAACTGCACCCAGGCTCCTTTTTCACCCCTCTATCCTTCATCAGTTTCCTCACCTTTGCCACATCTTCCCATCGTCCAAACGATGCGTAGATGTTCGATAGAAGAACATACGATCCATGATGTTGCGGTATCATATTGAAGAGGTGATCTGCTGCATAGACAGCAAGATCCACATTCCTGTGAATTCTACAACCAGCAAGAACTGATTCCCATATCAAAGGACCAGCCTCAAATGGCATTTGATGAATCACAGTCTTAGCCTCTTCGATCTTCCCGGCGCGTCCCAACAAATCTATCAATCGTGCATAATGATCTTCTCCTGGGCTTATACCATATTCACGTTGCATCGATTCGAAGTATCGAAAACCTTCATCAACTAGTCCAGCATGGTTACATGCAGTTAACACAGTGAGAAAAGTAAGCCGGTCTGGATGGATACCCTCCTTGATCATCATTTCAAAGAGCTCAATGGCCTCATTTCCATGGCCATGCTGCGCAAAAGCTGCAATAATGGAATTCCATGAGACAAAATCTAAATTTCGCATAATAAGAAACACAAGATGAGCTTCCTCAATAGCTCCACATTTGGCATACATTGTCACAAGGGCATTTCCTGCTGAGATACTGGATTCATATCCAAGTCTAATTAGCTGTCCATGAAGCTGCCGTCCATGTTCCATAGCTCCAAGATCCCCACAAGCAGAGAATGTTCCTGCATAAGTGTAGTCGCATGGTTTGACATTCTCAGCTCTCATTCGACTAAAAAGCTTCAGAGCTTCCTCTGAAAGCCCACTCTGAACCAATCCTGACATCATCACCATCCATGGTAGTTGGCTGTCACGAGGCATTTCCTCAAACAAGGCGCGGGCATCATCTATTTGACCCAAATTCACATACCCTGACAAAATTGCATTCCAAGAAACAGAATCCTTCATAATAATCCCATCAAAAATTTTCCTTGCAAGTTCCATCTTACTGCATCTTGAATACAGGGTAACCAAAACATTCTCCACTGGCAGAGCTGATTTGGGATCAAAACAGGGCCCGTCCCGAATAATTCTAGCATGCACAGACTTGCCATGCCCGAACAACCCAGCATTTGCGCAGGCGCTGAGTACACTCGTATAGGTAAACTCATCAAGGGGGAGCTTTAAGCAGAGCATTCTTCGAAAAATTTCAAAAGCGTCTGTGAAAAGCCCGTGATGGACGTATCCTGAGATCATCGCATTCCAGACAACATCAAACCTATCATCCATTTTATCAAACACTTGACGTGCGGAAAATAAATCACCTCTTCTGACATATCCAACAACCATGGTCGTCCAAGTCAGCTCATCTCTCTCGGGCATTTTATCAAACACCTGACGTGCAATTATCCCAGCCATAAATGACTCGCATTTACCGTATAAAGAGATAAGAGCGTTTGCAACCGAGACCACCAGCTCTGACCCCAGCTTAACAGTAGGGCCGTGGAGCTGCTGACACTGTAAAAGCTCCAGATTAACGATGTAAGCCGCCGCACTAAGAACGCCAGTAAATGTGTAGTCGTCCGGTATGAATCCATCCAGGAGCATGCTACGAAAAACCTTAACGGCCTGCGGGCCTTGGCTGGCACGGGAATAGCCAGATATCATGGCATTGTAGAATACAGTGTCGCGAACACCGATGGGCGTTTCAACGAACAGCTTGCGTGCAAGGAGGAGATCGCCGGCGTTTGAGTAGGCATTGATGAGGGAGGTCCGAGCGACGACGTCGGGGCGTGGGGACGTGTCGGAGAGGTGGAGAGCTGATGGGATGTCACCGTGCTTGGAGTAGAGATCGATGAGGCGGTTGAGGATGTGGTTTTGGGGCTTGAAGCCGGAGGAGAGGATGTGGGCGTGGAGAGAGCGGAGGCGGCGAAGGAGGATGGAATGGCGAAGGCGGGAGGTCAGGGAAGCGAGGAGTTGGAGATGGCCGGCGTAGAGACTGGCTACTGCAGTGACGTCCGTGGTATGAAGAGCCAGCAATGTCGGGCGCATTTGGTTGCGCTCGCCTGCTCCATGTGTTAATTACCGTAATGGGATGTATTTTATTTGTCTTATCATAATTGGATATAGACTTAATTGGCCTAAATATAGCTGCCCCAAATGAAGCTTGACTTAATTGGCCTAAATATAAAAAAAAAAAAAAAATCATAATCGCATATCAATGATATAAATTTTATATTTAGTTATATCATTTTTTAGGAAAAATATTATTTATATATATAATTGTTTATATTTATTACATATCTAGGATTAATAAAAAATTTATGCATGATTATTCGACAAGTTTTACTCTTGATTATGGACAATCTACTACAAACATCCACTTTTCTCATCTAAGACTTGAAACTTGACAAACATTGGGGGTAGTTTTAATAGTACCAGATCTAGCAAGGGATTGTGACTTTAGATGATCAAGTCATTAATAATAGTACACATTTTAGATATCTTTGATTTATTTTTTAGAGTGATGATGAAATATATAAGAATATTAGTAGAATTTAAGTCGGATGGTTGAAGTGGAAGAATGCATCGGGCAGGTTTTGTGATGGAAAAAGTATACCTTAAACTTAAGGGAAAATTTTATAAGATGATAGTGAGACCTGCAATATTTTATGGCGAAGAATGTTGGCCATTAAAAGATAAGCATAAAATTAAGTTAAATGTTGCAAAGGTGATTATACTCAGGTGGATGAGTGGCTTTACTCTTATAGACAAAATATGAAATGAGCATAAGTTGGAGTAACTCTAGTGACAGATAAGATTAAACAGAGTCGCCTTACATAGTTTGGTCACATAAAATGTCACCAAGTTAAGATAGTAGATGCATTAAATTTGGTCTATATTAAGAAATGTAGAGGTGGACCTAAAAAGACTTGCTTAGAAAAATATTAGAAATTATTGTTCTTTTATTAGATTTAAATGAGAATTTGATTATTAATAGAATACAAGGGTGAAAAAAAAAAAAAATTCATGTAGCCAACCCCACGTAGTGGGATAAAGGCTTGATGTCATTGATTTATTATTTTTATTGTTACATATGTCGAACCATACTCGTCATCGATCGGCTACGGTATTCAAACTACCATTGTCCAAACTAAGATCAATCCAACCTTTGTCACCTAACTATGGTTCTTCTAGCATATATTGTTCAACTACATTTCTTCCGACTACTGTCGCTTTAACTAGAACCCTACAACCACTGTTGTCCGATTACTATCTATCTGACCGTCTTCACCCAACTACAATCCCAGCAACTACTATTGTCCAACTATGATCCATTTGACTACAGCTATCTGACTACGGTCCATCCGACTTAATAAATAGAAAAAACAATTTTCTTAAGAATAGCTTTCATGCCAATGAGTTCTTCTAACACCAATCATGTAATGTAATATATATATATCGTATATTTTTCATATTATGCTAATGCCTCCCCCGCCCACAAGAAAGGGTGTTTATTTGTAATCAACCACAAACACTACTATAATCATTTCAATTGAGAGAGACTCCGTGCTTTTTCCCTTTCTTGGATTTTCTATATAAAAGATATCTAATCTTTGATAACTCTTGCACGTTCTCTATCTTATCTGAATATGTGTTGGATCTTCGTACAAAACAAGAACGTTAAATTTTCTATGTTTTTATCACTGTGAATGTTTCAACAAACAACAACAGAAATACAAATCAAATCATGAACTAATATGCGCGTAGTTGGCAAGATGCTGCGAACTTGTCATCAAATTTAAAAGAAACAAGAAGGGGAAAAATGACCTTAGTTATTATGACAAACCTTATTATAATAGGTTGTAAGATGGGTGACAAGAATGTTGTTGGTTGGATAGACTAGTGAAATTTTTGATATTGCAAATACGAGCTTTTATAATTTTAGAAAAGTGGAGTTTGTGGAATGATATTAGAGGTCTTGCACACACTCGTATTATTGATGATAGAATAAGTTTTGATATGTAATTAAAAACTTATCTTGATCGGACACGAATCTCGAGGCAAAAATAAAGTTGAAAACTTCAAAAAAATTAAATATGTGATCATCAGAACTCCGATTTCAGTGAACTTACAGTCGAACAAATTGTCTCAAAAATGCAAACCCAACGACACCAAATTCAACTCAATCCGAGCCCTAATGGGTCCGAATCGAAGACCCGAAGCGCCATTGGAAGGTTCAAACCACAATTTGAATTAACAAACGGTTTCCAAATATGACATACTTATAGTCGAAACGAGCGGCTCGACGAGACAAGTCCAACGAGCCCAAGATTGCCAAATTTTGATATCATTAAGACCTTCAAATGTCTAACAAACGGTCCATAATTAAGAGATTCAATATCGACCATCCATCCAAACCACTCCACATCTGCCCTTGATACTCCTCCTATTTACGAGTCATGTCACTCTAAAAAAATATAAATAGCCCATCTTTCTCTTAAGAGGGGACCCAAGCAAGTAACAACAAGAAGAAGAAGACAGGAGAATAAGAGGAGGGAAGAAGCTCCTCATCGACCACCGCCGGAGTTTCGCTTGACTTTCAAGTGATACTGGAGTTCCGCCCAACTTTCAAGTGACGCTAGAGTTTCATCCGACTTTCATGTGACCCCGGAGTTCCGCCCAACTTTCAAAGAGTTCCATCCGACCTTCAAGTGACGCCGAAGTTTCACCCAACTTTCAAGTGACGTCGAAACTCCGCTCGATCTCTAAGTAACGCTAGAATTTTGTCTGATCTTCAAACAACTCTGGAGTTTTGCCTGAATACCATATAATGATGTAGTTCTCCCTTGCTTCCGACTAACATCAGACTTCTACACGACGTCGAACATCCTCTCGTCGCCAAATTTCTACCCGACGTCGGACTTCTGCCCGTTGTAGGACTTTCGCCCGACATCTATCCAATGTTGGATTTCTGTCCATTGCTGTATTTCTACCTGATGTTATCCTTCTGATCTCTGTCGTCAGACAACGGTGTTTCTGACTTACGTCGCCCATTGACTACGGTCCTTCCAACCAAACTTACATGTTAACAGTGACACTTTGTGTTACCACCGTGTAATGTACTTCATATAATATACATCAATCCAAGGTCTCCCCCCTAAGAAAGGGCCTCATTTGTAATCGACTACAAATAATAGTGGATTTATTCAAACTAGGCTAAACCCCGTTGTTTTTTCCCCTTTTTAGGAGGCTTCCACATAGAAATCTTGATATCTCTAGTGGATGAGACACCATCTCTTTTTATCTGAATGCGTGCTAGATATTCGTACAATGCTAAAATGCTAAATTATATATTTTTCTACCGCAACAAATACTCCAAGACACAATAAGTTTCTTTATCGAGATTAACTATGAAGATCCCAGGAAGAATCATCATTGACATTTCTTAATAAGAAGAACATGAATATCCAAAGAGAACTTTATTACTGGGATACAGGATGTAAATTGAATAATTCAAATTGTTCAAATTCTTAGTTGAAAGAAAAAAAAGGACAAAAAAAAAAAAAAATCATTTATTCATTTTCTATCATCATCCTCCCCCATTTAAAGTATTTATTTATAAATTGCAACACCTCAACTAATTAATTCCAAGTAATTAATCAAATATTAATTGCTAAATATCCTTTTTAATATTATACTTAAATTCACAACGGCACCACTCTCCAAATCTGGAATTATTTGAGGCTTTGAAGATTTGACACGCCCAAAGCGTGACGGGATCCAATGCAAGTACGTCAGCCCCACTCATTCTCTTATGCGCTCGTCCCTCACATGCGACCCACAACATCCCCCGTCATTATTCCCACCATCTAAATCCAACGTTCCGTGTTCCACCCGCATAAAATTAATAACGCGAACAACCGCCTTGGACTACGGTAGACTCCTTTTTCTCCTCTTCGAACAAATCAGATTTCTTCGTCGACGACCAAATTAGACCAAAAAGCTCGAGATTTATCTCTCGCGATTGTTTAATTCGGATCCGTTGTATTCTACCCTTCTGTTCGCCGCTGGGGAGCGGAAGGGATGGGGGGGTTTTGGGAAAGTTGGCGTCGGCTGTTAGGGTTTGTGGTGGTTGTGTTGATAGTGCTTATGTCGGCGGCGATTCCGGCTGTGGGGAGGTTTGTAGTGGAGAAGAACAGTTTGATGGTGACGGCGCCATCGGATATGCGTGGAAAGCACGACAGTGCCATCGGGAACTTCGGGATACCGCAGTATGGAGGGAGTATGTCGGGGACAGTGGTTTACCCAAAGGATAATCAGATGGCGTGCGATGAGTTCAGCTCTTCGTTTCGGAAAAAGCCAGGCGCTATGCCTACCTTCCTCCTCGTTGATCGGGGAGGTAAAAGCCGACCTTATTCTCACTTTGTTGGTTTGATCCCAAGTTTTTAGTAAGTTTGTTATGATTCTGGGGGAAGAGGTTGCGTTTTGGTGAAAATTGAACTACTTGCTGCATGGAATTTCAGGAACAGTTGCGGAAAAGATAAGATTCAATTTGAACAAGCTACCTGACAGACATTTATTGATAAATATGTGTTTTTTTTTTAATATTTTGGATGTATGCTTTAGGAGGTATCACTAATTTGTCATGGATAATTGATATTTAATACTTATGGAAATTGCTTTAGGAGTTGCCACCCTTTTAGCGAGCAAATTAACTCGTTTTTTTCAGATATTCTACAGTTCTTTACATTTTCTACTTAGAAAACTTCCATGTTTGAAATTACATACTGCAATAGTTCAGAGAAATTGTTCTCTTTCTCTCTTAGAAACATTCCTGCTTATCTATTTGACTCTTATGATAGGTTCTGTATCAGTAATTCGCATAATCCCCTCGAGGTAGTTTGTAAACTGCGGCCATTTAAATTTAACTGTGTGTATGTATGCAACGTGAAAGGTTGGAGTAGCTCCAGTCAAAGATAAGATTTGAGAGAGTCATCTTAAATGGTTTGGTCACATAAAACAGCAGCCTTTTGATGACCCAGTTAGGAAAGTATATGTATTAGATTTGTCTTATGTTAAGAAAGGAAGAGTTTTAATATTACATAAATACCACTCATAGTTCATTTTCATATCAAATATGAGTGGTAGAAATGGAATATATGAGTGGTATGAAAGAAATATAAGTGGTATATTTGATATTAAAATAATATAGGGTGGTATGCATGTAATATTAAAGTTTTAGGTGTTAAATATGTAAATAGGATGTTATAAAGTGGTATGTATGTAAATTTCCCAAATATTATAAAGGACCTTTCTTTATTAGATTTAAATGAGAGTTTGACTCTTAACAAAACACAATGGAGAAAAAAGATTCATGTAGCCGATCCCACGTAGTGGGATAAAGGGTTGATGTTGTTTTTGTTGTTGTTTGTATGCATACAACATGACACCTTAATTTGAAATGCTTCAGTCCATCGTACTGATATCCTTCAATGCTGAAAGTGCTTTGGTTTAATTTGCTCATTTTGTTGTCCTTTTTCTCAGTTAGCCTTGTGGCCGCTGAATTAAGACTGTGGGGTTTGTGAGGATACTTATCTTTTTTCTTGTTTATTTTTCTCATTTGCAGATTGTGTATTTGCTAAGAAGGTGTGGAATGCGCAGAATGCTGGTGCTTCTGCTGTTCTTGTTGTTGATAACACCAATGAGCCACTGATAACCATGGATTTGCCCCACGAGGATGATGAAGCTGCAAAATATATTCAGAATGTAACTATTCCCTCTGCCCTCATTGACAAGAAGTTTGGACAAGATTTAAAGAAAGCTGTTGCCAGTGGTGAAATGGTCAATGTTAACCTTGATTGGAGGGAAGCTGTTCCACATCCGGATGAACGCGTGGAGTATGAGCTGTGGACAAACAGCAATGATGAGTGTGGGGCTAAATGCGACATGTTGATGGAATTTACGAAAGATTTTAAGGGTGCAGCTCAATTACTTGAGAAAGGCGGTTTTAGCCAGTTTACTCCCCATTACATTACCTGGTACTGCCCTGAGGCATTCCTTCTCAGCAAACAATGCAAGTCTCAGTGCATTAATCATGGGAGATATTGTGCGCCAGATCCTGAGCAGGACTTCAGCACAGGATATGATGGGAAGGATGTGGTTGTTGAAAATTTAAGACAACTTTGTGTGTTTAGAGTTGCGAATGAAAGCAAGAAGCCTTGGATTTGGTGGGATTATGTAACTGATTTTCACATAAGATGTCCTATGAAGGAGAAGAAATATAACAAAGAATGTGCTGATTCTGTCATCAAATCCTTAGGTTGGTTTAGTTTTGTTGCTTTAAATCTTCATTTGAGAAACAATCAAGTTGATACTAATTCATCAGAACTAGATGGTTGTTTATTTTTGTGATTTAAATCAACCACCGTGCATTCAAATAGTTGTGCTTACTTGTACCATACAAGTGTATAATTTTGCCTATTTTTTCCATTCTTTAACATCCTTTTTTTAACTTCAACATCTTAAATTTGTTAAAAATTGTATTCATTCAAGCAGAGTAATTTATTTGATTAGAATTTTAGTTTTGTTTCATCATTAATTCTATTACTTCACATCAAAGAATCCAGTCAAAAGAAAGGTTTAACAAATATCTCACATGTGAACAGGCCTCGATGCTGATAAGATTGGAAAATGTATGGGAGATCCAAATGAAGATGCTGATAATCCTATCTTGAAAGAAGAGCAAGATGCCCAGGTCTCTTATATATCTTTCTCGTTCTTTTCTTTATGGGGCGCTATCTGTGTTTCTTTGGATCTCTTCTGCCAACATAATTTCTTAACTAGCATTTGCCTATGATTTTTTGTGTCAAATAAGAAATCTTTGTGACTTAAATTCATACCTGACCTTTTAGAAAAATCCTTATTTATATAGATTGGAAAGGGTTCCAGAGGAGATGTCACCATACTGCCTACACTCGTTGTTAATAATCGGCAATATAGAGGTTAGTCCTTTGACCATCATACATTTGATTGGTAGGATATGTGCAATTTGTTCTGTTATTCATTGACCAGATTTTTGCAATTGGCAGGTAAGTTGGAGAAAAAAGCTGTGCTAAAAGCTATTTGTTCTGGTTTTGAGGAAACTACGGAGCCTGCTGCTTGTCTTAGTGATGGTAAGGTTGATAAAAAAGTTGTGGTTGCAGAGTCCTTTGGGCTTGCCTGAAATAGATGTTTGATTGAAGCATAATAATCTGATTGCTCATTTTGTATAGATATTGAAACAAACGAGTGTCTTGATAATAATGGGGGTTGCTGGAAAGATAAAGTATCCAACATTACTGCATGCAAGGTATCGGCCAGTAATATTTTAAAGTTAATATTGTTGAAAGATCTTATTTTTAAGTTCTAATGGTCTGGTTAGTTTGCAGGATACATTTCGGGGCAGAGTTTGCGAGTGTCCCCTGTTCAATGGTGTGCAGTTCAAGGGAGATGGCTACAGCCATTGCGAAGGTATTCATCCCTTGCTTAATGTATGTACACCTATGTGTGTGTCTTTAGTTATGCGGCCTGTAGGTGCATGACACTGAAACAAGCTAGTCAGCTAAGGGAATTTTCCTTTGGAAGTTACGAGTGATTGGCTTGTTGGATGTATAAATCAATCCGTTGTTAGCATCATATTTTTGCGGATGAGGAGGAGAATCCATGATTTATTTATTTAACTTGAAAACTGCGGCAAACTTCTTGTGGCCTGGGCAATCCTCCATTGTCAACTGAAGTTCTTCCTGAAGCCTATAAGCTTGCTAATGAGGAAAAAAAACATGGCGCGAGTCACAGAGATAAATGTTGTAAACCTAGGATTATTCCTCAGGGAACCATAGATGCCAAGTTGTTTTTGATTTATTTTTGATAGAGTACAACACTTAGATGCAGAGCTAGAAAGTCTAGCTCTTCAAATACAACCTCGTTTTACTCTTTTTAAGGAAGCTAGAAACACAACAACAAATTCAATTCTACTGTCCTCCCTTTAAGCAAATGAAACAGACACTGACAATAGCAGAAAGCATGAATATGTTGATGTTTGTTGTTTTAAAGTTTAAGTTCTCTAATTCAAATCTAAAATACAATGTGAGGTTAGGCTAAAAGAGGGATATGGAACATTTATTTTCAACATAAATTTTAGATTAAATGCCATTAATTCATGCAGAAAACATGTAGATTTGTATGAAAGAAAACTATATGTCACAAACAATTATTCAGGAGAAATAAATGAAATCCACTCCAATTATCAAAATTTGCCCAACATATACCATTAAACGTAAGAATTAGAGAACATGATAGTCAAACAATTGATTAAAATTTTGTGTATGGATAAGTCCCCAAATATCTGAACTAATCATAAAAATGAGAAGAGAAGAGGGAGAAAAAGAAAGAAGAAAAGTCATAGAAATGCATGAGTTATTTGGTTTTATGCAAATTTAATGCATTGAAATGATTTTTTTTGTGTTTGTGATACCTTCTAAATGCATTGAAATACGACGTAAGCTAGCTAGGGAGAGGGGCAACACACAAAAATCTTGAGTAGTCATATTGTGTGATTTAGAAATTATCCGATTTGGGTGATTTCCAAATGTAGGTAAAACAATGGTATTGGGTGGTTTCAAATCCCAAAAAAATTTACTTGACATATATTTTATTTCAACTTGGTATGGTTTGGAACATCAACTTGTTAGTTCGGGGACAGGTAAATTGGTTGCATGTATTTTAAAAATTCTATTAGTAAAATAAATACAATGTATTTTGATGACCCAAAGCTGTTTGTTTTGTTGCAGAATAACTAGATTATTTTTTTTTTTCGTTTTGTTGAATGTGAAGTTCAGAGTTTGATATTCCACTGAAATGACGTGGTAAGATTACCTCTTCGAAATCCTTAAATTGAAAAAGAAAAAGAAAGGTTTCTTTGATGCGAAGAAGCTATAATGGGAGGATAGAGGAGGCTTTTGATGATATATGTTAGTTTGGGTGTAATAGTTCTAGAGAACTTGATAGAGTGCTTAAAGTATAAACGAATTGAACTTGGTGGAGAAGTTCAACGTTGACAGAGGAGTGTAACTTGTGGTGAATTTCTTTGATAATTAGATTTCATCAATCTTCAATTGAAGGCGTAAGTGTTGACTAACTTGGAGTTGGAGAAGATGAAGAAATATTTGAACTTGGTTTACACAGTAGATGTTTGTGGTTGTGCAATGAAGGAAGCCAATAAAGAAAAAGAAAAATCTCTCAACGACGCCTTTTTTGCACGTAAATGTGGACGTTTGTGTTATGTAAAATGCATCAAAAATTTTGTTTTTCTTTACGCCAAACACCCAAAAAAAGAAAATCCCAGCAAACTTTACTTTACATTCATCATACCTCATACTAGGAACTCGGAAGAGGATGCCAAATAATTAAAAATGGAAGATTGATGAAGTTGACTCTAAATAGCTCGGACAAGGATTAGATGGTGACTAAATTAATCCATTTTTTTGGACTAGGTTAGGACATTCAAAATAACTACATTACTGCTTAGTTTATTAACTCTTGTTAGGATGGTTCAAGTTTTATATTCCTAGTTACATGAATTCTGCACATTTGTGGCAGGTTATGGCTCAGTGTTGGTTTTTGTTCGCCCGACCCTTGATCAACAATCATTATTAACATACATAGTTGTTTAGATTATTTTTCTTTTGCCGACCCCACGTAGTGGGATAAAAGTTTGATATTGTTGTATAACATTAGCTTTCTTATGATTTGTGAGTTGAGAACTTGGATAATTATTTTGGTTGTCTTCCCCCAAATATTTGTTTCCTTCAACTTTTGATTGTAACAATATAGCAAAATATTGCACATCATTCTGCTGTACAATTTGAGGATTCCGTGGCACCTTAATTATAAATGTTAACAGTGCATCTTAGAGTTGATAGTGTAGTGTAGTGTAATGCTATTTACATGACAAGGTAGATCAAAGAAAAATAATTTGCTCTATAGAATATAAAGCATAACACACATTATATGATTTAAAATTTATAGTTTATATTTTTACTTATTAGTTTAATAATCTATTTAAATTACTTGTATGAATAAAAAATATTCTGCATATAGCATAATGAGTATGTTTTCAACTTTTCATTGTTAAGCTTAGTTCTCATGCAAATATATTTGTTCAATCGTCTTATGATAATGTGCAAGGTAGATGTTATAGAATGGTTCTACAATCATCTTTTTTATTTATGGATGAGCAGGGTTACATCCTATTAATGCATCGTTACTGATGTATCTGCCCTTAAGTTGAGCTTGCTATATTGCCTATATGCTTATCTTCTTTTTTCTTCTTTATTAAAAAAAATATAAATGCTCTTTTGCGCATAATAATTTTCTTATACTCTATTTATCATTGCTATATCTTTTTTATTTCTTTGACTTAGTCTTCTAATGGTTTATTAATCTCTCTGAGTTTTCACTCTTATTGAAATGACTTACCTCATACAAGTTCATGGATATTGGAAACACTTACAAGTGTGAATATAATCAAAATTGATGGATAAATTATGGCTTCCTTTTCAAAGATTAGCACATACTATGCTCTTGTTTAATTAATTCTGATGGTTAATGGGGTTTATATTTATCCATTGATTTCCTTTTAACTTCTAAATTTTATTCATGATTTGCCCTTTCATTGTTTTCCCTATCATTTACTATCAAAGATGAACTCTTGAATGCATTAAAGGGTTGTTGAAAAAATAAACTACAGATTTGAAATTTTTATTTTTTTGATCAAATATGATATAGATAATAACATAACATTTTGATAGATAAAAATAATATTCTATAATGGATTCGAAAATAAAAATATGATTTTAAAAAATGTCTACGTTTCTAAAAACTCTCCTACCTTATATGATTAAGGATGACTTATTTTATTCTGGGGTACATGTATCTCATAAAGACAAATTCTTATTGTTAATTACATTACAAGAGAAGTGATTTCTTCACGATTAATTAATGACAAATATTTTTATATAATTTTAAGTTTATAAAAGAATGTTCTTTCATAATTTCAGATGGGATTGGTTCAATTTCGAACAATTTTTTTCGTAAGATTAATAAAAAGTATGGAACTCTGGATTATAAGAAGCTCAGAAGTACTACAAATTATTCTATATTGGGTCTTAATATTTTGAAGTTTGAATTTAGCGTTAAGTTTTTCATTTTATTAAATATTTGAAATTTATGTGTCATCAATAGAAGATTGAGAAAAGGTATAGGAGGTGAGGATTTTTTATGTTGCAACTGAGAAATTATCAGCTTTAGATCCTAAAACTAAGGCCATAAGTACTATACAAGTAGTACATGGAACTTAGGTATAAAGAAATGCAAGAGACTTGCAACTTTTACCATTCTAAATATTTAAGGAAGCTCGATTATATTGTACTTATAATCCTGTATTAAAATGATTGCCAGCTGAACCTACCGAATTGCTTTAAAATTATGTTGTTAAAGTTTTTATGCAATGTAGAATAGGCTAAACTTGCTTATAAAGATTTCTTTACATTGGAATTAGGATTTGATTATTATCTCACTAAATGAACTCTAATCTTCATAACATTTAAACCACATACCTTTAGAGATCTAAGGATCAATCTCTGAAAATTTGAATCTATTTGAAGTTATTCTTAATTTGTAATGATTCATTTATTTAATATTAAATTAATTAGGTTTTATGATAAATTAAGGTTCTATGATTAATTAAGGTTCCAATGCTTCTTATAAGGATTTCCTTACATTGGATTTAGGATTTGATTATTAATTTCTGTACATTGAACCTATTTGAAGCTATTCTTAATTTTTAACAATTCATTTATTTAAAATCAAATTAATATGGTTCTATGATTAATTAAGGTTCCAATGCTTCTTGTAAGGATTTTCTTACATTTGAATTAGGATTTGATTATTATCTCGCTAAATGAACTTAAATTTTCATAACATTTAAACTGCATACCACCAAGGATCTAAGGATCAATCTCTAAAAATCTGAACCAATTTGAAGCTATTCTTAAATTTTAATGATTCATTGATTTTATAATTAAATTCATATTATAAAATTAAGCAATTTTTATTCAAAACGGTTTGAATTATTTTTCATTGATTCTATGATAATTATGGTTCTAATTCAATTTATTTCATATATTTATAATTTTTTTTGAATTTTTAATTTAACAATATTCCTAGTTCCATAAGTTTCCTACCCTAACTTGGAATTAAGGTTTGGTAATTATCTAACCAAATGGTGATGCGGAGCATCCTTAACCGGGACCGAAGGCATAGTTTATTCTCAAGGGAACAGACTCTCGTGCCGTTAGTGGGAAGTTACCCACTATCACCTGCTACTTTCTATTTCTAGCTTTACAGTAATTGAATATTAGTTCTCAGTTTATTAGCTATCTTAGTATAGACTATTTGCTTAGCTTATTATATGTGCTACAGTAAAATGGTGTTAGGTAGTTAAGAAAGTTTAATCCAAGAAGAAGTTCGTCTTCTCCATTTTCCCGTGTGTATTTCTCTGTTGCTCCGTTCATTTCCTGTGCAGGTTTCATCTACATCAGTCTTTGGTATCAGAGCCAGATGGCGGAGAGCAGTCGACGGGTGGCTCCCGGAGAAGAACATAGCCTCGAAGCCCTTTGGGCAGCTCATAGAGGCCTGGCGAATCTTAATGAATTATTAAAGGTACTAAGCCATTTTGTTTTTATTTGGGAGATTTTCTCTTTGATCTAGAAGATTAGAGGATCATTGTAAAATTAATTGCATAATCTTAAAGTTTTAGTTGATTTAACTAGAATTTATTCAAACTTTAGGTCTATTTAAGGGTGTTTGATTTGAAAATTCAATTGGGATTCAAGCAAAGTTCAAATTCTTATGAGACAATTCAGAGGGAGAGGGGTATAGGATACGTCAGAAAACTAATGTGAATTTTGAGGGTGTTAGAGGTGATTAAGGGTGCTAATTAGATCACCAACTTTATAAATTTATCCTTTAATGAATAATTTGTCTATCATCAAGAAAAAAAATCCTTTGAAATTAAGCTAATTGGATTCATCTCATTTTTTTTTGAATTTATAGAGAGCTTATTTATCAAATTTGGAGTTAAATTGAATTATGTGTGAATTTTAGAAGTTTAATTCATTTTTCCAAAATTTTAAATCCCTTTTCCTCCTTTGTACTTTACATGCGGTGCATGTTGGTTGGCAGCTTTTGAAACAGCGAGGTCCATTTTTCATACTGGAAACACACTTTAGAATAATATATTAACAATTTGACTCAATTTCTGTTACCCATCTAATGCACATGAGATTAAAAGACAAAGGTTGTCTTCTTCCTCCCATATATGATAGAGATCTAGAACGTTCCAAGGTATTTAGACAGCTAGCCTTTCGATTATAGTTAAATCGATTATGCAACCTTGGCAATCCATGCGATTTTTTATCAGACCATCGACAATTAGCAACATTGAATGGTGGGGTCAACCTAGTACAATTGGAGATAGCTAGGGAAGCTAGGCTATGCAATGTAAGTAGCCTAAATCATGGTTTATATTTATTGGATGGCTTGGGTTCAATTGGGTTCAGTCCTTGGGCTAGCCCAAATGGTTTGGATAGTTAGCTTAGTATTTAAAAAAATGTTGTGCAAAATTTGGTATGATTTTTAATTGATTTGATGGCTTGACCCTACAACACCCATAGAGCATCACTTAGCCCACTTGGTCAAATTATAGTTGACCATGATCAAGAGGGCTTGACCATGAGGTAACACCGTAACACTGAGAATGGGTTAATACCATTTAAACATAATGCCAATGTCATTTGGTTTGTTTTGGGTATTTAGTTTATCGTTTAGGGCTTTTAAGGTTTTTAGGGTTTTGGTCAAGCTTGAGTTGAACATGGCCAAGAGACTTTTTTTTAATGGCCTAAAGACTTGACCATGGGTCAAAGCATGAAACAGGGTTTCTTAGAATGGATTACGACCACTTGGGCTCGATGCCTAAGCCATTCGGTTTGTATTATATCTCTGGTTTATTTTTTAAAGGAATTTAGGACCTTGATGAAATCTACTTTGACAATGGATCAAAGAGGATAACCAAGACAATTTGATCAATGGGGTGGGTCCAAGAGCAAGTCCAAGGTCCCTAGAATAAATCTTAGGATCAGAGGCCATCTACGGTTAGGTCCTATAATTTAGGGCATTTTGAATATTTTTTATGTTTTTAGGGTTAGAATTAGGGTTGACCTAAGGTTGACCTAGGAGTCCACTGCCTATCTAGGGTGATTAGGGAGTGTTCTAAGATCCTTAGGTAGCTTTTAGACAAGTTTAAGGTTAATTGAACTATGGATGGTTCACTTGAACTCCAGTCTCACCTGGGGGTATTTTGGATTTTGGGTTTGGCTTCAACCCTCTACAACTGGATTTGTAAAAAGTTAAGAGGATTCTAAGTGGACTTACAAAGGTTTAGGGTAGAGTAGTAAAGGTCTTGGATACCACTTGAGGCAAATTAGGGTTAGCCTAATCTAAGGATCTTAAGGGTCCAGTACCTTGGCATTTTAGATTTTTTTATGGCTAACCAATGCTAAGTTTGTACTTCGTAGGAATCCACCAGTGAGGGTCTTTGGAGGAAGAACCTATACTAAGCCAGAGTTTCTATTGATCAAGGCTAAGAACATGATTATGCTGTCAACCTCACTAAAAAATGTGGTCAATTGGGGTTTGATGAAAGTTAACATATAAATATTTTGTTGCGGGATATTAATATTAGGTTGGAATGTTTTCAATGAATTTATTAAGTTAAGAATTTGTATTTAATCTTATCAATGTAGAATACTTAGGCGTAAAAATGTATAGAGAATATTCCTTTAATATTCTCTTATAACCTGTAAAGTTAGCTTATTGATGTATTATTTCAATTGCATGGATGTTAACGATTCATTTGACGTTTTCCTTTTATGTTGGAAACCTTACACATTCGTATTTTGTCCTTGGAATCCTTTTAGTCTATTAATCATCATGTAATTTAATTTTGAAGACTTTTTTAGCAGAAAGTGGATGAGGCTTCCCTCTTGCTTCAGTACTTCGGTTCTAATGCAGAGGTTGATTAATTTTATCTTTTTACTCTTTAATTTGCAGCCATGGGTCCGGGGAGGTGTAGGATAAACAATGGGGGTTGTTGGCAGGAAAATCGCAATGGGAGCACCTTCTCTGCTTGCCAGGTTGGTTATATATCAGGACTTATTGTTTGGAAAATCTCGTACTTGTGCTAGTATTTTCTTTCTTTCCCATTATATTGTATTGATAAGTCTATTTCTGATGAATAGGAATCTGAAGATCACAAATGCCAATGTCCCCCTGGTTTCACAGGAGATGGTATCAAGAATTGTGAAGGTGATCACATAACGACTATGTTTCTCTAAATAGTTTATTTTAGGTCATTGATATTGTCTGCAGTTGATTCGGTAACATTTGCAAATACCTACAATTGTTTCGGAATTTATCACTTAGGCTTCGTTTGAGACGACTTTTTTTTCTGCTTCTTAAAGCAGTTTTTTAGCATAAAAGTTTTAATTTTGTGTACTAAAAAGCTGCTTTATGAAGCAGTAAGAAAGCATCCCAAACGAAATCTTATTTTGCTACTCTTTATAATAACTTTGCATATTTAATATATTTAACAATTTATTCTTAGTTACGGTTTTTTTACTTTAATGTTAATCAGATATTGATGAGTGCAAGGAGAAAAAAGCTTGCCAGTGTCCAGAATGTAGCTGCAAAAACACGTGGGGTGACTATGAGTGCACCTGCACTGGAGATCTTTTGTACATTAAGGAACATGATACATGCATAAGTGAGACCAGAAAAACTGCCTAAAACTGTGTTTTCTCACCAAATCCTTATCTAATATTGCCTTGATAATTTATATGCAGGTAAGAAAGTTGGTGAAGCCCGGGCAACGTGGGCTGCTGTATGGATAATCTTGATTGTCTTGGCTGCTATCGCTGGTGGAGCATATATGGTATACAAATATAGACTGCGGGTAAGTTTTTAACTATGGTATCATGACTTCAAAGATGGCAAGGCAAAATTGTCACAATTGAGGAAATTCTTCGTTTTGCAAATGATATTTAGGATCTTCTGTATTAACAATGAATCAAACAAACCTTCAATGCTGCTATCCTGGCATGCTCAAGAATTCATGCCTAGATATGGTACAAAACTCTATTAGAGTCAAGGCATGAGAGTACCTTGAAAATGGTGCTGAGGCTTGGAAATGCTCCAAGATCCTTGCCGAGGCATTGCCTTAGACAATATCCCCAATTACCAGCTAATGCTTCATTCAAGTGGATTTGGGGTCAAATCCTTCTAAAGTCGTATTTGTAGTTTTCTTTTCATTTGTGTGGTAATTTTATCTATGTAAATTTTATCAAGCATATAAGAGAAAAAAGGGGTTTCTTTAGATGTGACAAATCTAGGATGCTCCCCAAGTTGCGCTTAGATGATCTTCAAGGATTTTTAAAAAGAAAAAAAAAAAAATCTTCTAAGCTTCTCACCTGATCTTCATATTGAAAATCATTATTTTCCTTCCCCAATTAGTTTCATCAGGGATTGGATAGGGATCTTGAGTGAGTGAACATTGGATTGGGATTGGAAGAGGATGTGGAGGAATAATTAAAGGATATGTTATTAATTATAAGCCTGGCACTCACCTAAGCACTTGGGTGAGGCCTTCTAGGAATTCCCTACTTATGAGATGTTTCTTAAGAAGTTGCCAAGTTATGAACCAATTGCTTAGCCTTGACAAATATGGAAACTGAATTTGTTTTTGATAATAATAATTTGACTTGGGGAGATGTGGAGATAGCATTTAGGATTTGGAGAAATAAGGAGGCACAATAAAAAATAAGTTAGATTAAGTATTGGTTTTGGAGTTTCATGTTCTAGAAAGTAAATCTTGTGAGTGAAGAGGATGAGTCTAAGGATATATAGAAAGAGATATAGGCCTACAAATCTAGTGATGTGGATGAGAGAATGGATGATGAAGAAGATGGAGTAGATAGTACAACAACAACAACAAGCCTTTTTCCCACTACGTGGGGTCGGTTACATGAATCCTTTTTCTCCATTGTCCTATTAAAAGTCAAATTATCGTTTAAATCTAATTAAGAAAGATTATTTCTAATATTTTCTAACCAAGTCTTTTTAGGTCTGCCTCTACCTTTCTTAACATAAGTCAAATCTAATACCTCTACTTTCTTAACCGGGTCATCGGAAGGCCGCCGTTTTATGTGACCAAACCATCTAAGGCGACTCTCTCTAATCTTATCTTCTAGTGGAGCTACTCCAACCTTTTCACGTATGTGCTTATTTCGTATCCTATCTCTAAGGGTAAAGCCACTCATCCACTTGAGCATCCTCATCTCTGCCACACTTAACTTAGTAGTATGTTTCTCTTTTAGTGGCCAACATTCGGCACCATAAAGCATTGCAGGCCTCACCACCATCTTATAGAATTTTCCCTTAAGTTTGAAGGGTACTTTTCTATCAAACAACAAGCCCGTTCATTCCTGATGTAGGACTACAATGCTTAAAGTGGTATGATAAGAACTCGCACGATTTCTTGAATAAAACAATTATGATTAAGACTATTAGCAAATTAAAACGATAAAATAAAACATAAGAGCGGTCACTTCCGTTTAGGCCAAGTTGCATAATAAACGCTTTAATTATCAAAACAACAAAGAGAATCAACATGCAAATGGAACAGCTTTCAACAAAAATTCCTAATATAATATTAAGATTAGAAGCAAATAAAGTGCACTCAATCTCTACGTTTACTAAGCTCGGCAGAATTCGGTGAGCACGATCTTTATGAATCTATCAAATCACAAGAACAAGTTAGACAATGGAGATACGAGAAGAGGGAGATTGGCAAACCCTTATCACGGTTGTATTGCAATCCTCTACTGAACGGTGCCAAGTTGTTCTTCAATAGCCTCGACAAGAGTGTCCAGAATGCTCTCTATGTACTCTTCTACGGTGTTGTTGATACGCGGGTTGATGTCGAAAAGGGTCGAGTGAAGGATGCAAACAAACCCTTGTTCGTTGTAGGCGAGGCCGTAGTCAAGGTCGGGATCGGCCATGCATCGACCTTGTTGCGTTGAGGTGCGGGAGGAATAGCCTCTTGGCTGTCCTTGTTGTTTGCCCTTTGAAAGAGAGGGATTTCTCTAAAAAAAAATCCAAGTAGGAGGAGGCAAAAGAGGTGGCCGGTCAAGAGGAGGTGGTTTGGGGAAATGAACTTCAGGTTTTGGGAAATTGGAGTGGAGGGAAGAGGTGGCAATCAATCCTCTAATTAATCCTCATGCATGGAATTAATTAAGAGGAGAGGGAGAGAGGTAGGGGCGGCGGGATGAGGGGCTAGGAGGATGTGTTTCCAAATCTCAATGTTTGCTTTAGGAATAGAAAGAAAGAAGACTTATGAGATTTCGGCCAAGAGGGAGGGGCTATTCGAATTAATTCCCAAAGAGGAGTGTTGGATTTAAGAAACAAATCCAAAGGGAGTTAAAGTGGGGGATGACGGCTTAGGCGCTAGGGGAAGAAAATTAGGAATTTTTTAATGCTTCCTTAAATTAGGGGATTAAATTAAGGATGAAAGATATCATCGTAATTTAATTTAAATTCAAATAAGCAAGAATTTGGAAACTTTCCAAAAATAACTCTCTTAATTTAGGAAAGAATTTAATCTTAAATAATTTTGAATTTGAATTTAAAACTTCTCAACTCAGGAGTACTTATTTAAGGAAAGTATTCAAGAGGGGTTGACTTGTGGAGGGAAGATGGGTGAGGGGAGGTGGGGAAATTCGGCGGATGGGGGGGG